GGAACAGATTTGAAGTGTGTCTATGGGCTTATACCTTCCTACACAATCCAACTAAAATGACTTCCACTTTATTTTTAAAAAAAACAAAACAATTTTGTAAATTAAAATAAATTCTGTATAAATTAATTCATGTCAATATTTTGAAACAAAATTATTTAATTTTGAATATATATATCTAGCCATAAAGAATATATGTTATATTTTATGCTGTTAACCAGTGAAATACTGAGTTTTAACCATGAAATAAAATCCATATCATTCACACTGTAACAGATACAGCGTAGCAAACTATCATTAATTTATTCTGTATGATTCAATAAATTTGTAATGTTACATAATAAGTTACATTAAGTAATGGCTACATCTTTTTTTTTTGGGGGGGGGGGGCATTTTTTGCTATTTAAATATTATTACTTTACTAAAAACATTGGTAGTTATAAGTTACACTGCAATGGGAACTCTAAACTTGAATTACTTTAGGTTACGCAAAAGGATAAAAAAAGTTAATTAAAATTGAAAGACATGATTTGTGTATAAATGCATCTAGTACCAGTACTTACTTATTTACAGCTCTGTCGCAAATCTGAAAATGTTGATGATGGTTGATGTAGTATTTTTGTCTATATATTAGTATCTTCTAACATTTGTATAATTAACATGGGAGGGTACAACATTATAGATTAGGTTAAGAAATGATAAAAACAATATTTGATTTATTTGTAGAAGATGAGAGCACAGAAGAGTCAAGCGATACTGCCGGAACATATCATATCATAGATCAACAATTAATGCCGACCGGCCAGGTACAGCTAACGCTATCTGATGGTGTTAATATCTTACAAACAACCATTGCTGCTGACCAGCTACAAGGTAAGATATTTGTTGCTTGGTTATCATATCACCAGTGACCTTTCCTGACCTTGTTTTGTATCTTAATATTTTACCTGATGAACTATAAAGACTAAAATTTTGTCCGAGCAATTACTTGGGGATGCTTTGGTCCCTGCAGTCCTAAGATTTGGCATGGAAGTTGTTCTTGGCCAGAAGATGGCCCCTAGGTTAAATGTCAAGGTCACTGTGGCCTTGTCCAATGAAAGCTTGTCTGGCCAGTAACTAGACAATGTTTTGGCCTACAGTCCTATGGTTAAATGTGGAGATTGATCATGGCTAGTAGATGGACCCTCATGATTTTGAGGTCAGTAGGTCAAAGGTCATGGTCATCGTTACCTTGACCACACAAGGTTTGTCCAACCAATAATTTCTAGAGAATACTTTGGTCCACAGTCCTTAGATTTGGTGTGAAGGTTGGTAATGACTAGAAAATGACCCCTATTGAATCTAAGGTCATTTACTCATAAGGTCAAGGTCACATTTTCACATTAAATACATGTCTTATCAAGAACAAAAGTTTTAGCAGTCAAAGGTTTGTGAAACTTATAAGTTATGATACTTTTATCAATATTATATATATTTTGTACTACATGCAATTTAACACTTGAATTTTAAGAAGTATGTTCATGTGCCACTGCTTTTTATTATATTGTTATTTTTTGTGTGCGTTAGGTTTTGAAACTGGAGAGCAGAGTATTTTGCTACAAGCTGCTGACATAGATGCCAAAGGGGAGATAAGTTATGTGGCTGCCGATGTCACTAAACAAGAACTCACATCTTCAGCTGACCAGGAAACCACACTATCTGCAAATAATGATGAGTCATTGGTCCAAACAAGCACTCAGTCAGACAACCAATCAGAAAGGGTTTTACAAGTGATCAACCAATCAGTGACGGATGCTAATGAGACAGACCAATCAGCTCTTCCCTCTGGTATGTTTTCTTAAAATAAGGATATTTTCTAGATTTGAAAAATATTATTTGTATTTTTACTTGGAAAACACATGGTTCGCCTAGGTCTTGAAAACCCTTAAATTTGATATTTGTTTTAGTAAAAACCCTTGAAACTGACATTTGCCTCAAAATCTCTTTAAAAAAAAACAACTTAAAAATCAACTGAATGATAATGAAAAAAAACCTTGAATTTGAAATTTCAACATCGATTGTAAAAAATGTTATGAAGTTGTGAAATGTATATTTTGTTTATATTAGTTACTCATGTATGTCCCAATTTTTCTTTGATTTTTAGGCCTTTCAAAACCCTTAAATGTTGCTTCAGAAAATTTGTATGAACCATTTAATTTGTAAAACTTCCTCTAAAACATTTTATAACTCTTTATTTAGGAGATACAAATGATAGTTATGCTTAAAATGTTACTCATGTCAGTAAAATTTACTTGTAGGCACAACCGGTCAGTTTTTTATTCTTACTGATGAAGATAAAACCAAGCAAGGAGGTCAGGTGATACAAAATGGGGCTCAACCTATGACACCAAATGTTAAACAATTTGTGGAAAGTTTGGTGCAACATGAACAGGTATTGGTAAATTATGATATATCATACATCATGCTTTAGCTGATAACAATTTCCTCAACTTGATCACTTTAGGTATCCAATTTTTATATGGAATGAATTAAATTTGGTGGTGGTGTTGGCTAGTTTTCACTTCGGATCACGGCAGTAAGCCACATTGAAAGAACCAGAGCACAGTCCAGCTACAGCATAATTGTCAAGCAATTTACCAGTTCTAGTTGCCTTCACTTTTGGAAGGAACTGAACTTCTGTACATGCCAAAGCAGAGGTACAGTGCAAAAGACCATAGACCATGGAAAGGATTTCATGATCAATCACAACGAAAGTGACCTGCATTGTCCATGAATTGAACCCCAATGCACAATTCACAGTCCGACGCTTTACCTATTGGGCTAACTGGATGGCTCAGAAGTAAATTTTATTTAGCATTGGGGCTATCCTACTCACCCTGGTGTTGGCCAACAGTGTTACACATAAAATATCATATATATTGAACTATAAAAGGAGTTGGCTTTAAACTTTTTACACATGTGTTTTGGCTCATAATCATTTATCATAGGCAAATAAATCGTACACAGATTTTTACAGAATTATTGTGCCCCCACTTTAGTGGCGGGCATTTAGATTTACCCTTGTCCGTCAGTCTGTCCTTCCGAGCAAACATTTTGGGTTTAGGGGCTATATAACAGTAAAGAAACCAAAAGAGAACAATAGGTTCATTCCGTGATCAAAGGGTTTAGGGGCTAGTAGTCCTTAAGAAAACAAAGAAAATAACGAAGAAAATAGCCCCTAAACCCAAAATGTTGGAACGTCCGTCCTTCTGTCCGTCCGTCCGTTCTCTTTTGTGTGGCACGAAACTCAAAAAGTATTTGACCTAGAGTCATGAAACTTTACAGGAATGTTGATCAGCATGTGTAGTTGTGCACCTGGATATTTTGTCTGGATATTTGTAGTATTTTTAGAGTTATTGCCCTTGACTTAGTAAAATTTTGCAATTTTCAACTTGTGTCGCATATAACTAAAAAAGTATTTGACCTAGAGTCATGAAACTTTACAGGAATGTTGATCAAGATGTGCACCTGGGTATTTTCGTCTGGATATTTGTAGTATTTTTTGAGTTATTGCCCTTGACTTTGTAAAATTTTGCTATTTTCAACTTATGTTGCATGTAACTCAAAAAGTATTTGACCTAGAGTCATGAAACTTTACAGGAATGTTGATCAGCATGTGTAGTTGTGCACCTGGGTATTTTCGTCTGGATATTTTTAGAGTTATTTCCCTTGACTTTGTAAAATTTTGCAATTTTCAACTTGTGTCGCATGTAACTCAAAAAGTACTTGACCTAGAGTCATGAAACTTTACAGGAATGTTGATCAGGATATGTAGTTGTGCACCTTGGTATTTTCGATTGGATTTATTTTGTATTTTTAGAGTTATTGCCCTTGACTAAGAAAATTTTTGCATTTTCAACTTGTGTTGCATGTAACTCAAAAAGGATTTGACATAGAGTCATTAAACCTTACGGGAAGGTTGCTCAGCATATTGAGTTTTGCACCTGCGGTTTCGCTTGTGGATTTATTCAGTATTTGTAGAGTTATTTCCCTTGACTTAGTAAAAACAGTTTCATTATGTTGTTATTTGTTCCTTGAGTGCTTGAGTTAGAGTAAACCAACTTTACAGGAATAATGATCAGCATCACTAAATTACAGGAATAATGATTCACATCACTGTGAAGCTATGCACCTGGGACTTTGCATGTGGATTTTTTTCAGTTTTGTTAGAGTTATTGCCCTTGACTTACAGTAGTATAAATTTGCAATTTTCAACTTGTTCATGCATAGCTCAAAAAGTATTTCACTTGTAGGCCTGAAAGTTTACAAGAATGTTGGTCAGCATGTGTACTTATGCACCTTGGGTTTGCTTGTGGATTTATTAAGTATTTGTAAAGTTCTTGCCCTTTACTTAGTAAAAGATTTTTAGTTTTCAAAAAATGTTTGACCTAGAGTCATAAGATTGACAGAACAGTGGTGCGGTGGGGGCACCCGTGTCCTATGGACACATTTCTAGTTCCCCTTTATAACCATAAGAATTAACAAAACATGATTAAAATGTTGCATGCAATATCTATCTTTAAAATAGACTGTAATCTTGTAAGTCAGGGACAGATATATTCCTTTAACTTTGTGATATAAAAAAAACTTTATCATAAGTATAGTTTGGTGGATAATAACTGATTATTGATAAATGATAATAATAAATGATTTTTATTAGGCAATAGATATTCACTTGAATTTTTTATTATACAGTTTTGTGCAGTTCTAGTTTATATGTGATCATCAAAGCTTTATACTCCCTAATGGTTTATTACACAGCATCTGAAATAGATTTGTAACTTTGTATTTGCTATGGTACGATATTGTGCAGTCCTAGTACAGATGCACTGTTGTTTGGTCATAAAGGCTGAACTCCTTAGTGATTTATTACAAAGCATTTGAATTAGATCAATACTATATGGTATGGAAACTTAAAGAAAATTAAAATCTATTTTCATTCAATTTTTAGATAAATACTATGACCTCATCAGCAGGAACAGAGTTAAGCAACCAGGAACCAGCTGTCAGTCAGATACCTGGTCAGTCACTGGTTCCCGTCGGTAAAACGTCAATAAACCTACGAAAGAAGTTAAAAAGCCTGATTTAACTAAACCTATTGAGGTTACTGACCATATGGAAGTTGTAGTAAATGGGAAGAAGTGTTTGCTCAAAGTAAATCCAGATACAGGCCAGTTGTGTGCCTACCCACTTGTTTCATCCGGTAAATACTGGTTTTATATACAAAATTTATTTTTAGATTGATTATGTAAGTAACTATAAGCTTATTATAAGTAACTATAAGCTTGTAGACAAGCTCTTGAATCCATTCCTTCAAACAACCAGTACAGTGCCAGAGTGTAAAGTTTCTTGCTCAAGGAAACAACGGCTTGCCGAAGACGAGGTTTAAACACACAGGGCTTGGGATCCTTAGATAACTAGTCTGATGTGATAACCACTCAGCCATTCTGCCATTGAATGGTACCTACCTAGCTGTAGTTTAATGTATATTCAGATTAATACCTATTTATATCTATGGTACATGAGGGCAGAAAAAAGAGAAAGAAATTGTGTAGATATTTGTAGAAATTTAAGATTCATCATCCTGATGAAATTTAAGATTAGAACAGAAATCAGAAGAAAATACTGTAAATCTCATAAAACCAAACTGGTGGTGATTAGTTGTTTTCTTCCCATATATTACTTTACTTTTCAATGTATAATACAACAAATATTCATTTCTTTGTATTTTGGGTTCCAAATTATCATAGAATGCACCCCAAGTATAAAATCTGCATATCAAAGGTGTGTGTGGATTTGGTAATAACGGATTAATTCATATGTATTGTAATAGAAATAAAATGATTTGCCCCACTGACGATTTGCCCCATAGCGACTAACTACACTTTAGTGACGATTGTTACTAAAGCAGGGTAATTTGTTCCAGGGTAAGTGATCGTTATAATACCAATATCAGGCCAGTTTCTGCATTAAAATTATAATTTGTGTTTAGAGATTGGGGTTGAGAAGTAGTGTCATATGTGCATAATAAATCAAAATAAATGACTTAGTCTTTACTTCAGGTAAGAGAAGAGGAAGACCAAAGAAATCCGAGGTAAAAGGTCAGATGTCAGACGAGGCTAAAAGACTTATAAAAGAGCAATCAGACTTGATGGGAGAAAGTGTTCAAAAACTTGTACCAGATCAGACCAGTAGTGCAGCACAGGGGCTTCTAGAACTGTCCAACACAGGTAATTTATTTTAACAGATCATTTCATCACAATGTGATTTTTAGCTCACCTGTTACAAAATGACAAGGTGAGCTTTTGTGATCGCAATTTGTCGGGTGTCTTTCCGTCCATAAACTTTTACTTTAAACGACATCTCCTCATAAAACGCTAACCCAATGTAATACAAACTTCACAGGAATGTTCCTTTGGTTGTTAACTTTGAAGATTGTTCAAAAAATTTCAATTCCATGTGTAACTCTGATTGCGATGGCAACCAAAAGAAAATAAAAACTTTAAAAAATCCTTTTTATTAAAAACACCACAGAGCTAAAGCTTAGATATTTGGCATGAAACATCTTCTAGTAAGTTTCTACCAAGTTTGTTCCAGTCAAAATTGGCCCCGTCCCAGTTTGTCATTGATTTTCCTTATATGTATATAGTAAAAACAAACAAAAATCTTCTTTAAAAAACCCAAAGAGCTAGAACTTAGATATAAATCATGAAACATTTTGTAGTGAGTTTCTACCAAGTTTGTTCAAATAAGGGCCCTGGAGTAGATAAATAATAAATATATAGGTAAATGTCAAGCTCTGTGTTTCTACAACTTTAACTCTGTATAGAATACTTATAGAATTAATTGTATCTCCCATATGAGTAATCACCTTTATATGAGTTATGTATCTTATGTGTTATCTCCTTTTTTTTTTAATTGGATATCTTTCAGGACCAGATGGTGTTAGAAGAAGTGCTAGAAGTAGAGGAAAACCTAAAACATTGCAAGGTAATATAGTGTGGCGGCAAGGTTAAACACGTTAGACTAGTAATCCAAGGATTGCTGACTGTCTTGGGTCAAACCCTGACAGGGTCAATAACTTTTATACTCATTGCTTAGTACAGGTTGGTTCCAGGGTTATATTCTAACAATTATATGAAAATTGACTAAATCATGAACCAGCTTAAGAATAAAAGGTATTAAGTCTTCAATAATCAACTTGTTGAGATGTGTTGGTTTTAGCAATATTTTTTCCAAAATTGAAAGTGAGACAACTTTCAGGATTATTCCGAATATAAGGATTAGCAGTTTTGTAAATTAAAATTGTAATTTTTATTGCTGGGTGCCCTAAATTCATACCTCTCTATAGACAACACCATCTTTGTTTATGTCACTAACTTTTGTCATATGTTCGTTAAGAAAGAAAATGATCAGATATTTTTAAACATCAAAGTCAGTTGTATGTTTCTGTCATATTTCTTAAACATAGAAAACTTGAATTATTTAAAGATAGAGTATATCAAACTAGCACTGTGAAAATGCTTAGGTTAATGAATCATGGCTATATGATATGATACAGATATAAAACTGTATTTTTGCTTACACAGAGTATGAAGTATTAGAGCTGTCAAGTGATGATGATGCAGCTGATGATGGTGATGATGAAGTTCTACCCAGCGGTGCAGTCAGGAAGAGAAAAACACAAGTGAACAAAGATTACATACCACCTGTAGCTATACAAACTCCCGGAGGTAATATTTTAACACTAAGTGATTGTAATTATTATAATTTACCTGTGTTACCAGTATAGACTATAGAGAGAAGGGCCAACCAATTTTGTTAAAACTTGTGGTCTGACCCTTTACCTTTTTATGAACAACTACAGCATCCATGTAAATCTATTCAATAATTTTTTAGTCTTATGCTTGCATGTGATATTGCATCTGTTTTGTATAGAAAGAAAAAAGCAATAAAATATGATTAAACTATAAAACCAGTATTGAACCAGCCTAGGTCAGTTTACACAGAATGTTGAATTCTTATCAAAACTGCTGAAACTGAAAAGAAAAATAAGCCTTTGCCAGGTCAGTTTAGTCTTTCGTGCAGTCTGAGCAGGATTTTATTCATTATATTAATATCATAATCATTTAAATTAAAAATATGCAGTTTCAGTTTCAAAGTCTGACAAAGTCCATGTTGGTTATATAACATGGCATTCGTACTTAATTATACCCCCACAAACAAAGTTTGGGGGGAGCTATATAGGAGTCAGCTTGTCGGTCGGTTGGTCGGTCCGTCCCCGTCCGTCGGTCGGCCCCCGGGGGCCAAGGTCAAGGTCACCGTTACTAAAAATAGAAAAATGGTTTCCGGACAATAAATAAAGTTAGGAATGAGATATTTTAATCAAACTTGGTTTATAGGAAGCTTATATGAAGACCTGGTTGGTATTGCATCTGGACCCCCTGGGGCCAAGGTCAAGGTTACCATTACTAAAAATAGAAAAATGGTTTCCGGACAATAACTAAAGTGAGGATTCAAACTTGGTGTATAGCAAGCTTATATGAAGACCCCGGTTGGTATTGCACCTGGATCCCCTGGGGCCAAGGTCAAGGTCACCATTACTAAAAGTAGAAAAATGGTTTCCGGACAATTACTAGAGTTAGGAATGAGATATTATAATCAAACTTGGTGTATAGCAAGCTTATATCAAGTTCTGGTTGGGATTGCAATAAATTGAAATAATTCTTTGTACACAGTGCTGATGATACTTTATTTACTGTAGGTTGAGTTCACATTTTTCTTCAGACCAGTTATTTTTCAAAAGTCAAAGTTGCTGGTGGGGGTATTAATCACCTTCAGTGATAGGTCTAGTTTTAGTTGATATGTGTAACATAATACAAAAATATGTATTACATAATACAAAAGAACTTCTGTAAGTTGAAGTTAGACTTGTGATGCTGAGTGATTAAGGTCATTGATTTCAAACCACTTGCCCCTCACTGCTGGCAGTTTTTTAATGTGAGGAAGTTATCAATCTGGCTTTCAGAATGTTAGAGGCTCTACTCCGGTACAGGCTTGTGCCTGAAATAAAGCATTCGGCCCAATTCGAGTCTTCTTCCAGCAGTAAAGTTGGAAAGTCATCATATGACCTTCACAAAGTTAGCCCGGTTTAAAACCCAACAAAGGGCACATTGGCAAGATTTCAAAAACTACGTGCAAAGCAAAATTTGCAAAGTCCAACTTCTTACTTAATATATACTTTTGTATTAAAAATAAAAAGCAATCAGAAATCTTTAAGAATAATCTTTTAGACAGTATCGACTTATCTGTTTTGTTATCCAGTTCCAAGGCGGGGCAGAGGTAGACCACGGAGATATCCCCGCCCAGATGATACACCAGTAACCAATCAGATTCCAGCTGTGATAATTCCATCAGGAGATGGACAGACAATCATGATGGCACCACTTCAGGTTAATAACATTTTGTTGTTTTCATAGAATATTTTTATTGTGTGTGATTCTGGCATTGTTGAAGTTCCTGATTTAAAAAAAAAATATTTAGTCAAAGTAAACTTTACAAATTTGAATGCAAGTCTAGTTCTGTGTTGAACCATTTTTTTGCCCTTTATATATGCAGATCTGGTAAATTGAACATTCCAAATTGGCAGAAATTTCTATTGTTTTCCAGAATTTACAAATTGTCACCTTAGTGCAGTAACAGGTTAACATCTTATATAATTAAATAGGAGTTAACTGCACTAGGGTGGTGAAGTTGACTTTAATCAGGATTCAGTTTTCCCAATTTACCCCATTTTATGACACAAACATTTCCTAATTGGGCAGATCCAGAATGTTTCCCTGAAGAGTAGAAAACATTGCTGTTGTTAAAAAAAACAACTTAATAGTATGCTTCATTTTTATTGTGTCGCCTTGAAAAGGCGACATATAGGGATTACTTTTGTCGGCGGCGGCGTCGGCGTCCCCTAAAGCTTGTCCAGAGCATAACTCAGTCACTTTAAGTTGAATTGACTTCAAACTTGGTATGCATGCTTCTTTCAATAACACGAAGTGCAGTGCACAGGAATAGGTACTCTGCATTTCTTATTTTTTGAGTTATTGCCCTTTGTTAATTTTCATACTTTATTTTTGTCCGGGCCATTTCTCCGAAAGTATATAAGCTATGGACTTGAAACTTCATAGGATGATAGATCTCATTAAGAAGAAGTGCAGTGCACAAAAATCGGTACTCTGCATTTCCTAATTTTTGAGTTATTTCCCTTTGTTAATTTTCATACTTTATTTTTGTCCGGGCCATTTCTCCTAATGTATAACAGCTATGGACTTGAAAATTCATAGGATGATAGATCTCATTAAGAAGAAGTGCATTGCATAGGAACTGCTGCTCTTCACTTATTATTTTTTGAGCTATTGCCCTTTGTTAGTTTTCGTATTTCATTTAACCAGGTCATTTCTCCTCAAGTATGAAAGCTATAGACATGAAACTTCTTAGGATGATAGATCTCATTAAGAAAAAGTGCAGTGTACAAGAACCGGTACTCTGCATTTTTTATTTTTGAGTTATTACCCTTTATATATTTTCATATTTTATTTTTGTCCAGGCCATTTCTCATAAATTATAAAAGATATGGACTTGAAACTTCATAGAATGATAGATCTTATTGATAAGAAGTGCAATGCATAGAAACTGCTGCTCTGCACTTATTATTTTTTGAGCTATTGCCCTTTGTTAGTTTTTGTATTTCATTTTTGTCCTGGCCATTTCTCCTAAACTATATTGTTCACAAGGCGACACATCCGACTCGCGGAGTTCTAGTTGGAAAATGGAATGATGTTGTGATGATATTTGAACAAACTGATTTTTTATTGGTTTAAATTTAGATACATGTATATACTAGTGTTCAAACTTCAGTATCATATCAGTCACAGTGTCATCATTTTTTTAGAGATTTCTGATTGGTCAATAATTTTATTGTGGAATCAAGTCCCTGAAAGTTTGGAGTCTCTTTTCAAGCTTGTAAAATTGAGGCTTATGTTATTTTTTATTTATTTTTTCTCAGGGAATGTCCAGTTTAGAAGCTTTTCAGGAACAGGTAAAGAACATGCCAATATTTCAACAATCAGGAGTTGATGATGATGGACTCCAGTATCTGAACATCTCCAGTCTGATAGATTCCTCTGATGGAAACACGGTGAGTTTTGACAATGATGCATGTTGAGGGCATCTGTGGCTGAGTGGTTAAAGTTGTTGACTTCAGTCCACTTGCCCCTCATTGCAGTGGGTTCATTGTTGTCTTCATGCAAAAACTTTAGCCAATTATTCAAACGTTTTAAGAGATTTCAAAATGAAACTTGGAATACTTGCTTATCATGACAAGATTTAGTTGTTAGACAAAGGGCATAATTCTGAAAGCAATATTTTGAAGTTAATACCCTTTTTTGAACACTGCATGCTCTTGTTGAACCATGATATTGAATTTCTGAATCCTTGAATGGACTGATCCAAATTAAAAACTGGGCAAATTACATTTTGCAAATCCTAAAAACATGAAATTATAATTTAACATGAAGTTCTCTTGTTTTATCACTCGAATTTGGTCAGCCAACAATATTGACCCTGATCAGAATACACAGGTATGCAGACTGGCCGGCCTCTATACATAATCAGTCCAAAAAAAAATAAATGATTTCCTTAGCTTTCGAAATTATATTTTCTTCAGAAAAATATTGACATTTATAAAATGAGCCGCGCAATGACAAAACCAACATAGTGTGTTTGCGACCAGCATGGATCCCGACCAGCCTGCTTATTCGCGCAGTCTGATCAGGATCCATGCTGTTCGCTTACGAACCCTATTACAAGTAGAGAAACTGATAACATGGATCCTGATCAGATCAGACCTGCAGATGCACAGGCTAGTCTTGATCCATGCTGGTCGCAGACACACTATGTTGGTCTTGTCATGGCACTGGTCAAATACTATATTATACAGGTGAGTGTACAGCTTGGTGGAGCAGTAAACCTGGGCGATACAGAGGATATTTCTAGTCAGTCAGTTCTTAACAGTGATTCTATAGATGATAATACTGAAGATTCTGGTGAGTTGTTATAACATGCCCTGCGTTAGTAGATTAAAGTGGCCTTCACCTTTTAGTTTCTGTTGGAAAAACAATACTTTGTTGTTTCAAACTTCATGTTTCAGTAATTTTATCTTGGAAAAGTGCATCAAATCACTGGGAAGCCGTCTTCAAAACAGGGTCCGAGAGCTATTTATAATACGTAAATTTACATTGTTTTTCTAAAATTAGAAGATGGGAAACAAATCATCCACTTTACTAGAGACCAGACTGGTAGATAAGATGTATCAAGGGGTTTCCTTATTGTTTAAGTATTTTACCATCCGCAAATTTCTTCTTTACCTAATTTTTTTTCTTTGACAATTATATGAAACGATTTATTTAAAAATAGCATATTTTAAATTTAGACAAGCTGAAAGTCGCTTTAAGTAGATTGTTATATTTATTTTGTGCAATATCAAATTTTTTTAAATATTTATACTTGAGTCTTAAAATGAAAGCAAATATAAGACAGCCTCTGCCTAATCCAATATGTGTTTGACAGCTGTGTACCGGTCCAATAGAATTCAATATTGTACTCAACAATGTATAATAACTTCATATTTTCACATACCCATGCTGCTTTACCAACTTCATGGCCATACATATTATAGTTTAATATGACAACATTTATGTAATACAAACAAACATGTGGTTTAAACACAAGCTAAATATTAGTATTACAGTGTAAGCATTTCAGTGTAGATAAAATACTTTTTTTTACTTTAAACAGTTCTTACTTTGGGTGTTTGTTAAGAAGAATATTATTGTTTTGTGGCTTCATTTCTAAATTTATTGAAACTCATTAACTATAATTGTATTTTGCTTGCCAGCAGCCACAATTAATTCAGTATTGAACCTATGGTCACTCAATAGCAAGACATGTTAACTACTCAGCCCAACACCCACCACCCCCACCCCGCCCCACTTTGCTCTTTACGGTCGTTTAAGTACTTAAGCGTATTTCTATGATTTGATCTTCGTTTCAACAGTGTTTTTTCTAAAATCTGACAAAATTTTAAAAACTAAGAAAATTTGAAAAATCTGACAAAATTTGGAAACATTTCTTCCTTTTTGCTTTATTTAGTTGATTAAAACAGTTGTTCTTTTTACTTTATTTAGTTGATGTAAAGCCGGTTGTGTTGACAGGAGGAGATGAAACCGATGTAAAAGATGTTAAAGTTGATGTACAGAAAGAATTGATAGATAAATTAGATGTTGGTAACAATGGTAAGTGATAACATTATATCAGGTGAAACCCTTAGCCTACAGGTGGCAACTGTGTCTATCCATGTGACCATTGCTGACCAAGATAAGCTGGCACAACTGTACATTGCCCATGCACTCTAACCAGGTTCTATTCTATTGGCAGCTTAAATTATTTACTTCAAATCCTGATACTAACATTTGGCAGTGGTTCGCAATTCTTTTTCATAAAAGCGGGCTTTTGATATAATCGTTCAAAACAGGACACAAGTCTATTACATATATAAAGTTATAAGAAGGCAAAATGATGGGGCCAAATGGTTAGGGTTGTTTGGCTTCAAACCACTTGCCCCTCATCACTGTGGGTTGGTCACCCTTCAAGTTGAATTCCACTATTGTCTTGGATTCCATCATGTTAAGAAGCTAGAGAGTTAGCTTACAAAAGGTCAGTGGTTCAGCTTACTGTCCATGCCTGAAATAATTCACAAACAGGCAGTGTTAGTTGACATCCAACAGAAAAGCTTGAGAATCGTCTTAATACCCTTACAGTGTTGATGTGATATAAAACCCAACAAAACAAAAAGGTTACATGAATGATTAGTAAACTAGATAAAATATATAAATGTTTATATATACAGGTATTAAAGACAAGGTGTCTGAACCAAACGAAGGCCATCCAACCATTATACAGATACCAGAGAACCTCCTACCAATGTTTACTCAGAAAAAAGACCCTGTCAAAATTGGTAAGTATTAACAGAGTATTGTTCCTTTGTATCTCAATACAGCCAACCATACAGTAGACTATTAAAAGGTGATTTTAGCCCGTTTGTTTCAAAGAAAAAATCAGGCTATTATAATCGCTGCAGTGTCTTTGTAGTCATTGTTGTAATTGTGCAAAAAGTTTAATGTAGCCCATTGTTTGCTAGAGATGGAATTGAAAAATATGGGAGGAGTTTGATTCAAGCATCACACAGATAGAGACCATGGAAAGGAAGTGCAGTGTTCAAGAACCATAACTCTAGTCTACTTTGCTTTTGAAGTATATCTCTTTATTATGCGTTCTTAAAACAGCCTTTAATGTATTACTTAATACAGCCTTTATTAATTGACTTGTCTTTCATATCTATAAGCAACATACCTTTGGTGGTCCTCTAACTTGAGTGAATTAAGGGGTCACTTGCAGCAATGTCACTGGTGCTTAAAGTAGGTTTTTTTTTAAAATTATCTCATCCATGCTTTATTGAATTATGTCTCCCATATTTGATATTTTAGGTAGATACCTTTGGCAGTCCTCTAACTTTGGGGGGAGTTAGAGGTGACTGTGTTCAAGGTCACTAGTGCTAAAAATAGATTTATACACTTTTGTTCATGCAGTCTTTATTTACTGATAGATGATTGGCAAATGTGTAGGCTCTGGTGCATCAATCACCTTTAGTTATATGTCTTGTTGAAAAATGAGATCATGCAACCCTTTTTCAGCTTTCAATTCATTGAACAAATGGAAAAGTTGTTGTTGTTGTTGTTGTTTTTTGTAACTGTAAAGTGCTTTTTTATGAATGCCTAAAAAAAGCTTTTAGAAATGAAGTCTTTTAAAATGTTTAGACATATATATGAAAACACATGTAAAATTATCTGGAAAAAGCTGATGCCTCAGAAGCATGAAAAATGGCAAAATTACATGAAAATTGTAGACTTGGTTTGATTGAGTCTTCTAGTGTATATACTCAATGCCCAGAGCTTAAATATTTTGCATGTTGTATTTCCAAGTGAACCTTACAAAAAAAATTATATAAATCAAGCCCATGGGGTCCTAAAAAATGACATGCCCCAGTATGACTCCATTACCTACTTCCATATTGATGAATTGTGGCCTTTATTGCCCCACAGGTATTTTTATTTTTTTCATTTTTTTTCTCATTTATATGAAGCATAATTTATGAAAAACATGTATCATGTATTTGCAGAAAATTTTTAAACAGTTTCTTTATCAAAAACCAGGGTGTGATTTCTAAGTTCTCAGTTGTACTATTTCAAAAGGCACTACAGTATTTTTATTTGCATATACAGAAAACATTTTCACATGTGTTCAACAAGTTAGATAAACTGTATGATTTACTTCCCTTAGACTATGATGAAAAACAACTTTTGTCTAGGAAAATGAACCATTCTGTGATCTCCTACAGCTGTCAGCATCAGTCACTATGTGTCATTTTATTTCTGTACCCATATCTCCACCTAAGTTCTGTACCTGCTAATTAAAACAGTTCTTTAAGCCTGTATCTCCACCTATGTATGGGATTTATCAATATTTATACCATAAGATAATTTGGATGTTGGAAATTGGCTTTCTTCATGTGAGGAAGCTCTCCAGTTGGCTTCATGAAAGTCAGTGGTTGTATTCAGGTGTCTACCCAAGCCAGAAAAAAATATGAAAGGGCACCTGAGGTCTTTTACCACCATGAAAGCTGGATAGTATGACTTATAACCTGAACAGTGTCAGTATGATTGAACCCTAAACTCCACCAGTTGAAACCAGTGTTGACAGTTTTACACTAGTCTAACCTATATGAAACCTGTGTTGACAGTATTTCACAGTCATGTTTCACCTGTATCCAACCAGTGTTGACAGTATAGCATCTTTATCACATACAGTTTATCAAACCAGTGTTGACAGTATTATTTGAGTGAGCTTATTTTTATGAACTTTTTCTCTCTTTGAAGTGGATGTTGATGATTGAAATCGAAAAAAAAAATCCTTCAATTATAAACAGTTTATTTGATAATATGTTTTTAAAAATGTTTTCTGAAGCCCTTGTCTGACAATTGATATTTAAATATCTGCAAAATTCACTACATGGTTTTCATCAATATACATAAATGAAATTTATCATGTATCAGCCTTCAAACAATGTTTTGCTACAGAACTGTTAACTACACCAAGATCAACTTCAACCTTTTGACATTCTGAACTTTTGTATGGCACACTTGTATCACTTAGTAAGCAGAAACGAAAACATTGAGGTTTTTAAAAACCAGATTTTCCCTTTGAAATTGAAAGAAACGTTCATTTATAACGCAAAAAAAGTGGCTATTAAAAGATTAATCTCAGCTTGAAGCTCGTTGAGATTGACCTAGTTTTTAACGTTAAAGACAAATAAATTACATACTCGGAAGATTATCTACCATTTATTCCTCGCCATTTTACGAGATAAACAACTGACGTTACTTTCATTTTAAGTGCTCGAAAATTAGAGAAAATATATTAAAATATAACTTGTTACATAGAGAACAAGTAGGGTAAGGCTGCGATATATGCCTGTTTAATGTCGCCTGCATGATTCGTTTAATATAACAAGTTACGACAAAGACGGAAAAACCTGTTGGTGGGTCCCGCCAACTTGCCCAGGGCGTGGCTATATTATCTTTATACGATGATACTGATTTATAGCTATAGTAGAAAATAGCGGAATAATTTTTAGAGAATACTGGTCAAAGTTGAATGATAAGTAAGTATTTATGGTTAAGGCAAGTCTGAAGGGGTCAAGTGTGAATGGTCAATGTGAAGTGTGAATGGTCAAGGTGAAGTGTGAAAGGTCAAGATCAAGTGGGAAAAGTCAAAGTCAAGTATGAATGGTTAAGATCAAGTGTGAATGGTCAAGGTCAAGGATGAAAGGTTAAGTGTGAATGGTCAAGATCAAGACGTATGCTTTACCAGGATTTCAAAGGTGTAACTTTTTAATTAGGGTTGTTTAAAAACACAAGTCAGGTACCCATTCATTGGCTTATTTAACCCTTAGGCTACTGGTTGCTTCAAAACCAACGTAGGCAAACAGTGCAGACTATGAGCAACCAACATGTACATAATGACAGATCTTCGTCTGCACTTTTCGCTATTCAGTCAGTACATTTTTTGAAAATTTTCTCTAAGGCTGATGAATAGTTTTGATGGACAAGTGCATTTAAGATATTTAGTGTGGAAAGGGTTAAGAAACAGCATTATTTTGGTCTAATGATTTATTAAAGGTGATTTTGAAACTCATGTCTCAAAAACCATCATTGGGTATGATGACATATAAAATGAATATATGGTTGAAATTTGTCAAATATTCCATTAAGAATCCAACAAAAATGAAAAAAAAAGAACACTCAGCAACAAAAGCAGAAAACAAGGTTAACTGGACGGCCTATCCTTGAATGAATCCAGTCATGAAATCCATTCAAAACTGGGCACTTAAGAAAACAAAGCCTAATTGTTTATTAGTAATACTACATTCATCAATTATGAAATTTGTATACATCAAACAATAAGTAGCTAAATATGACATTACTACTCACTGTTTCGATTTTTGGTTGTTTAAAGTCTGTCCTTGAAATTTTATATACATGCTGATGCAGGTTGTTCTCAAGTGTTTTGGAAACTTTTCCTTAAAAAATGAATAACAACGACAAAAAAAAGTATGAATGAATAGATATGACTGTCAAAGTCCTTGTAATTTTTTTTTTTTTTTTTTAACAAGGCTGTGGATATTGGTACATTGTCACTCCATCCTTGTTTGTTTATTACTGGTTTGTACAATCCAGGAAAAGCCAGTTAGACAGATCACCCGACATGATTTGACCAAAAATGGTTGAAAAAATCTGCTTAAAATCCAAACAAACAGAACAAATGTTTGGGTTTTCCTATTAAAATTAATGTTCCTAAAGTAATCTGTCAGTCTATTTGTCTCTTTGATTGAAAATTGACCTTGACCTTTAAGGTCATATTTACAAAATTTTGAAAAATTTTGCTTGACCACTTTTGATTCTTCTGTAAATCTTTTCATTTTAGGATTAGATTTTGTATAGGATGGAATAATTTTTTTGAATGAAACTTGAAAGTCTGAGATCTTCCTTTTTAGCTCACCTGTCACAAAGTGACAGAGTGAGCTTTTGTGATCGCTTTTCGTCCGGCGTCCGTCCGTCGTCCGTCCGTCCGTAAACTTTTACTTTAAATGACATCTCCTCATAAACCACTAAGCCAATTTCATCCAAACTTCACAGGAATGTTCCTTTGGTGGTCACCTTTAAAAATTGTTCAAAGAATTTAATTCCATGCAGAACTCTGGTTGCCATGGCAACCGAAAGAAAAAACTTTAAATATCTTCTTTAAAAAACCATAAGAGCTAGAGCTTAGATATTTGGCATGAAACATCTTCTAGTGAGTGTCTACCAAGTTTGTTCAAATAAAAGCCCTGGGGTCAAAATTGGCCCCGCCCATGGGGGTCATTGATTTTCCCTATATGCATATAGTAAAAACTTAAAAAATCTTCTTTTAAAGAACCCAAAGAGCTAGAGCTAAGATATTTAGCATGAAACATGTTCTAATGGGTGTCTACCAAGTTTGTTCAAATAAAAGCCCTGGGTCAAAATTGGCCCCGCCCCGGGGGGTCATTGATTTTCCCTATATGCATATAGTAAAAACTTAAAAATCTTCTTTTAAAGAACTCAAAGAGCTATGGCTAAGATATTGAGCATCAAACATGTTCTAATAGGTGTCTACCAAGTTTGTTCAAATAAAAGCCCTGGGGTCAAAATTGGCCCCGCCCCAGGGGGTCATTGATTTTCCCTATATGCATATAGTAAAAACTTAAAAAATCTTTTTTTAAAGAACCAAAAGAGTTAGAGCTAAGATATTTAGCATGAAACATGTTCTAATGGGTGTCTACCAAGTTTGTTCAAATAAAAGCCCTGGGGTCAAAATTGG